TTCAGTCCATAGTTTAGTGGTACATAAGTCTGACCATCCTTATGCAAAGCATTCTGATGTTCTAAAATTTCCAATAAATAACTGATGAAAGTGTTTTCCGATTATCATTTTGACTTTCACTATTTTTCTCTGATAATAAACTACTACCACATTCTCTGACTGTTTGGAGTAGAGACTTCGAAAATGTAAGAAAAACTTGGAAAAGTTTTCTAGCAGCATTCATTATTTATTTAATAAAAACATTTTCTGGCGCTACACCACATAGATATGGTGTTTATGTGGAGATGCTAAAGATGATTTATAGCCTACCTTTTGGTACCAACTTTTAATAATCATGGTGTGACTTCAAGTGTAAGTTTGTTCATTAAAGCGTGAATTTTCACCCCTGGGTTGGAAGCTCAGACTCAGCCCAGCACTACAAACCCGACCCACTGTATCTATTAACCTTTCTTTCGTTTGTTCAAACACCTAGTGCCAAACAAATACGTCTTCTGACAGCATCATTACTAAATTTCAGATGCTTTTACCAATCAATTAATAGCTTTATCTTGATTCTCAACATTGTATACCAATAATATTGTGGTAGTTGTTAGTTCCTGATCATCGTGTAAGGTTTTGGTTTGGATGCCTTGTCCTTCCCTAAGGACATTTTTAAGCTGCCTACATCATAAGATCATAAAAAATAGAAACAGGAGTCAGTTATTTGGCCCCCACGCATACTCCAAAATTCAACAGGATTGTAGCTGATCTGGCATTGTTCACATTCACTTTTCTGCACTTGTCCCATAACCCTTGATTCCCCTGCAAATCAAGAATCTTTCTATCTCGGGCTGTTGAGAATCTTTTAGTTCAACCCCACAATATCCAGGGAATTTACTACATCCTGTTATCACATCATTCAGTAAACTCGTTTTCGTTTCTCAACTTACTTTTCCCTTTTTCCTGTATTGGGGTCATAGCGTGCAAAGCTTGTGCCTGTGCCCCTTGCTCAAATACCTGTTAGATTAATTCTCTGTTATCAAGTTACATCAGAATACCATGCTGGAAATCCTATTCCTGTCAAGTTTGATACAACCAGCACCAGTTCATGATAGACATTGTCATGCAGAATCCAATTGTCTTCAGTCAACACCAATTCACTTTCTGGACCAAGTCTCATTTCTGGACATGGTGTTTCAGTGATTGTGGTCATGGCTGTGGTTGGCCACTGTTGATGGGGGTTCCGTTCTTCTTGTGTCAGAAGTTACACGACACCAGGTTATAGCAGTGCTCCTAAAGCTTGTGATTTCAAATAAACCTGTTGAACTATAACCTGGTGTTGTGTGACTTCTGACTTTGTCCACCCCAGTCCAAGACTGGTATCCCCACATCATTTCTTATTATGGTCATAATTCCCACAGCTTCACCCGAAAATATACTGCCTTTGTTTTCCTTCTACATTTGACTATGATCTCTTCCATAAAACACCCCTTCACCACCTTTTGAATCCAATGTCCCCAAGAAATGTCAGCACCATGCCTCTTCAGAAAGGAAAGTATTGGTCAAGCTTCTAACTTGTGACAGTACCTACATGGCCTCCCTTGTATAAAAAGCAAGTGGATCATACACAGTCCCTGTCCTAATTCCACTTGTTAATTCATCTGCTCCTTTTTTTCCCTCAAATGTTTCTTTTCTATGGACCCTCACCTTTATTATGCTATACTGTTTCCCATTTTCCCTTGCTACTTCAATTATTCTCTTCAACAATAGTGCAGATAGTAGAAGTTTTCTGTGTGCTGACACAAAATCTCATGTTTCCTAAAGAGGTTTAAAACTTCAGTTGGACTGTGCACACATGTACATACTGCCAAATAATTCTCTAAAGGGAGGGGATATTTATTGAGTTGGGTTATCACAAATGTGACTGCTGCTACTTCTGTTGCTGGTGCACACATGCTGGATGTAAGCTTAAGGGAGTGTTGTATACCCTTGTTGGTTCTCTACATGAATTTCACATCCTGTTAATCCGAAGCCGCCCTCCACTGTAAAGGATCTGTCAACAAAAATTTTAAACAACCTTTTTTCTGATTTTTATCACACATGTCCCCCTCTTTTGTTTTGACATAAAAAGTTTTGAAAGGACTTTTGTTGCCACTGCCTGACTTTCATGTTGCTCTCCTTGGTAACCAAGGTTTGCAGCCAACTGCATAATCGATCCATTTTGGCCTTGCTGTCATGCATGTTATCAAACTTGAGACTTTGACAAAGGGAAGGGTCTCAAACATCATGCTGTTTGACCAAATTATTCTGAAATAGAAAAGCTCAGCAGATCTGGCAGCATCTGTGGGGAGAAAGTAGAATTAATATTTTTTGTCTGGTGACCCTTCTTCAGAACTGATTAGAGCTCAAAAGTTGCTATATATGTTAGAGAAGGGGGTGAGGAAGGTGGGAAAGAGTAAACAATAGGTACAGATGGAGCTCAGAGAGAGAGGGAAAAAAAAACAGTTGGGCAGACAAAGGAATGGGTACAGGCTAGCCTTGGACCGCTAGTGGCTGACAATGGGTTATTTGTGATAGCAGTCCATGTGATGAGAAGGCCTGGTGTGTTGGGGTTGAGGTAAGGAGATGGGAGGTGCTCAGGCCCTAAAATGATTGAATTCAGTCTTGAGTCCAGAAGGCTTCAAGGTTTTCAAGTGGAAAATGAGGTGTTCTTCCAGCTTCAATGGTGCACTGTAATAAGCCCGTGATAAACATTGTTGGCTACCATGTTCCTCTAATGCCCCTCCCCTGTACATTCTTCCTTTTTAGACATTCAGATAACTTCTTGGATGTCTTGTTGAATAAAATAGTAAGCATGGCATTGTGAGGGGCAGGTCATGCCTCACAAGCCTTATTGAATTATTTGAGGATGAGACAAAACACATCGACGAAGGTAGAGCAGTGGATGTGGTGTATATGGATTTTAGCAAGGCATTTGATAAGGTTCCACATAGTAGGCTCATTCAGAAAGTAAGGAGGCATGGGATTCAGGGAAATTTGGCTGTCTGGATACAAAACTGCTGTTCAACAGAAGACAGAGGGTGGTAGTAGATGGAAAGTATTCAGCCTGGAGCTCGGTGGCCAGTGGTGTAGCACAGGGATCTGTTCTGGGACCTCTGCTCTTTGTGATCTTTATAAAATGACTTGGATGAGGAAGTGGAAGTGTGGGTTAGTAAGTTTGCCGGTGACATGAAGATTGGTGGAATTGTGGACAGTGTGGAGGGCTGTTGTAGGTAGCAACGGGACATTAACAGGATGCAGAGCTGGGCAAAGTGGCAGATAGAATTCAACCCAGAAAATTGTGAAGTGATTCATTTCGGAAGGTCGAATTTGAATGCAGAATACAGGGTTAATGGCAGGATTCTTAATGGCAGTGTGGAGGAACAGAGGAATCTTGGGGTCCACATCCACAGATCCCTCAAAGTTACTACCCAAGTTGATAGGGTTGTAAAGAAGGTGAATACTGTGTTAGCTTTCATTGGCAGGAGAATTGAGTTTAAGAGTTGTGAGGTTATGCTGCAGCTCTATAAGACTCTGGTTACACCACACTTGGAATATTGTGTTCAGTTCTGGTCACCTCACTATAGGAAAGATGTGGAAGCTTTAGAGAGGGTGCAGAGGAGATTTACCAGGATGCTGCCTGCACTGGAGGGCAGGTCTTATGAGGAAAGTTTGAGGGAGCTAGGGCTTTTTTCATTGGAGCGAAGAAGGGTGACAGGTGACTTGATAGAGGTGTCCAAGATGATGAGAGGCATAGATAGAGTGGATTGTCAGAGACTTTTTTCCCAGGGCGGACATGACTATTACGAGGGGGCATAATTTTAAGGTGATTGGAGGAAGGTATAGGGGAGATGTCAGAGGTAGGTTCTTCACACAGAGTGGTGGGGCGTGTGGAATGCACTGCCGGCAGTGGTAGTGGAGTCACATACTTTAGAGACTTTTAAGCAACTCTTGGATAGGCACTTGGAGGATAGTAAAATGTAGGGTATGCAGGGTAAATTGATCTTAGTAGGATAATAGGTCGGCATAACATCGTGGGCTGAAGGGCCTGTACTGTACTGTGCTGTTCTGTTCTATGTGACTAATGTACATACTGCATTCCAAATCCTACTGATTTGCTGTGTTTCTAAACAAAACGTCTTCCTCCCGTTACGTCTGCTTTTTTTTTTGCCAATTACCTTTAAATCTGTGCCCTTTTTTTCTTGACCCTTCCACCAATGGGGACAGCTGTTCTCTATCCACAAAGTCTAGACCCCTCATAATTTTGAACACCTCTTGTCTTAAGTACTTCTCCAAAGAAAGCAGCATCTACTTGTCTGGTCTACATAACTGAAGGTACTTCTGTGCAATCCTTAGCATTTGCCTTCTGAGTTTAACCCCTGCCTCACTTGCTTTGACCTGTCTGTTTCTTACAGTAGCTTGCTGAAATTACTTTTTAAAATAGTCACTATTGAAATGAAGGCCAGCAGCTTCATAATATTTAATGATCAATCTCCTGCCCTAAGAAAATTGTTTCTCTGCTCGTTATGGCATCTCTGTTAAAACTGCAAATGGTTGATTTCAAAATAGGCTGTGTTTCATTTTACATTCTCAATTTATCTGTTGACACGACCCGAACCCACTTGTTTTTGCAAGTTGAACTTTAACCTGGTCTGTCTGATAATGTAACATGTCCTTTATATTGTACTGACATACCAGCCTAGATAACATACTCAATTGCAGAAGAGGTGTCTGACCTATAACTTTTTGAACCTCTAAATTGGGTATGATGAGAATTAAACTCTTATTATGCTCCCCTGCGACACTTGAGCCTGGATTCTGTCAGGAGAGAGCTTCACACTTTAGACTCATTTTAATGATGATCAACTGACCCAGCAACCAAATGTAAATTATACTGTATTAAGTGATAATGTATATTCTGTAGAAATGGTCTTAAAAATTTCAGCAGTACATTGATTTTCTGCGGAATTGTTTTATTGCAGGCTGAAATCAAAAGCCATCCTTTTTTTGATGTTATCAATTGGGAAGATCTAGATCGGAAGGAAATTCCTCCACCATTTAACCCCAGTGTGGTATGTAACTGTCTTTTCAGTAGCTCAACAAAAAAAACATACCCAATGTTAGAATCCTGTAAACTACATAGTGTTAAACTGGAGGAACACAGCAGGCCAGGCAGCATCAGAGGAACAGGAAAGTTGACGTTTTGGGTCGGGACCCTTCTTCAGAAGGATTCAGAAGATTTCTAAAGAAGGATCGCGACCCGAAATGTCAGCTTTCCTGTTCCCCTGATGCTGCCTGGCCTGCTGTGTTCCTCCAGCTCCACACTTTGTTATCTCTGACTCCAGCATCTGCAGTTCTTGCTATCTCAACTGTACAGTGTTGTTTTGTTAATATGTGACAACAGTATTTTGTATTTCAGGCTGGACCTGAAGATCTACAAAATTTCGATCCAGAGTTCACAGAAGAACCAGTTCCTCAGTCTGTTTGTCGATCTCCTGACCGTTCAGTTGTAAATGCTAGTGTTTTAGAAGCTGATGATGCATTTATTGGTTTTTCTTATGCTCCGCCTATTGAAGATTCATTCTTATAATGGACATTTTCATTGAATTTTTTGTTAAGTAACAAACTGCTCAGCATGAAATGAAAGCACTTGTGTGCTTTTCAATGTGCACCACAACTATCAGCTTTCCTCAGACAGAGCCTGTAGTGATTGGGTGAATGTATAGAACTATTTAAAAAAAACTGTACATTCTGTGTGCAACTTGTAAATGAAACAAATATTCAATTGCTTCACTCGTTCCAAGTCTAAAGATTCGAAAGTTATGTATTTTAAGGACAGTCTACTTATCCAAGACTTTACTAATTTCTGGAATTCTGATAATGTGCTGTACTATATATAATTTAAATATTGTGGAAAAAACTTATCCCATTACTGGATAATTAAGTTTGCATAAGTACGTTGTGATATTTCTGAAAGAATTGATGTATTGTGGTCCAAAGATGGTGATGAAATCACACTTCACAATGTAAAACTGCTAATGATATTTTATATATTTTCACCTCAAAGCCATCTATTTTGATCTGTGAAGATCATATATTGATTTAGGTTATAACTTAATCTCTTTACTGGAAATCCAACTGAATTGTCACTGTATATAAAACTGCAATTATGATATAGACATTACTTGAATAATGGAGGGAGAATTGTGGCTACTCAGGTGAAAGATGTGAAGATTTTCTTTGGAGTTATTTAACATGTACTGGCCACCAATGATTGATCGTGTCTGTTTTGTTTTAAAAACCTGTATATATACAAATATACAAATTTTGCAAACAGTACTTTAATTAGATGCAACTAATACTTTTATAATTGTATATGTATTTAACTCCATGTTGTGTGCAGGAGATGGATATATATATATATATTGATAACAGCAAAACTACTAAATAGCACATGTTCAAATATGTGTATGTGTGTATATTCTAAATGGTCATTTTAGTTTTCATGACATTTTTTATTACATTTAATGTTCTGTTTTAAAAAGTAAGGAAGGTTCAAAGATAGCTCTAATGAAAAGGTTGGTTCGAAATCCAAGCAAGTACTTTTACCCCTTTACTCCAGTGGTACAATAAGCGCAGATTGTCTGGATGGTGGTGCAAATATTTTCACCTGCTTTTCCTTTCTGATTAATTATTTTTACTGTCTTTCATTTCTGGTTTTCAATTTTGCAGGAGTTTATAGGATGTCTATTGGTCATTCAGGGAAAACCTTTTTAATAACATGCATTCAAATAATTAATGGGACACCTTTCATTTGCTTGCTTCGCTTCAAAGACTTTGACTTATTCCTTATGACTCAAAGCCCAGTAACCATATTTAAAGGAGAATTTCGGAATCATGTTAAAAATATTCAGCTGCATTATAATTAACAGAAGGAAACTGAGTTCCACTTTAAATGTATAAAGAAAGCACATGCTGTCAGAATGTTTCTCAATAACTTGATTTTATACAGACTTCAACACTGTGAAAATTTCCCAAGAATTGTCACAGGTACATGTCAGATAAAATCTGGCACTAACATGTTTGAGACAGTAGGCTAGGGAATCAAAAGCCTGATCATTATAAAAAGTAGATTTATGCAAATTCTTAAAGGAGGAGAGAGAGGATAAGTGGTTTAGGGCAGTGGTTCCAACCTTTTCAGTAGCATGGCACACTTCAATGAGACAATTCCACAGTGTTTGCGCGCACACTTTTTCCTGTTTTCCCTTTGGCCATGTGTAATTAGAATGTTCATGTTTTAGCATCAAAAGACTAATACTTTGCTTTTAATTTGATGATTAATTTTCATGTGTTTTAGGAATTGTTATTTTGGTCAGATAGAACAATGTTTGTCTTATCTTGATCTTCATTATCTTTGTACAAAATTTCACTGCGTACTGGAAAAGATTTCACTGCACACTAGTGCCACGGCTGGTGAACGCCACTGGTTTAGGGAGGAAACTCTCAGGCCTTGGACCATGGCAACTATGGAGTGATTAAATTGGGGATGCACAAGTGACCAGAATGCAGGAAGTGCAGATTTCTACGGAAGCGGCAGGGGAGTGATGGGTGGATTGTGTCATATAGCTGGAGGAGATCAAAAACATAGCGAAGGATGAAGCAATGGCAAGTCTGAGGGGAAACAATTCAATTTTAAAACTTCCATCTTTCAATGGAAACCAGTGCACACTACCAAGCACGTGGGTGATGGGTATACAGAAATTGATGCATGTTGGGACAAAGGCATTTGCATTTTTGATTACCTCATGTTCATGGAAGGCACAACATGAAGGTGATTGAGTGAGACTAATTCATGACAGCATAAGACCATAAGACATAGGAGCAGAAATTAGGCTATTCAGCCCATTGAATCTGCTCCGCCATTCAATCATGGCTGATAAGTTTCTCAACCCCATTCTCCCGCTTTCTTCCCGTAACCCTGGATCCCCCCCGACAATCAAGAACCTATCTATCTCCGTCTTAAGTATACTCAATATTCTTAAATATACCGTGACAGTAGTATAACTGCTCCAGTCATGAATGAGAGTTTCAGCAAAAGTTGAGCAAAGGCTAGCAGGATTGGGTACTGTTACAGAAGTAGGAATAGGCAACCTTGGTGATGCTTTGGATATGTGGTTGGATACTTGGAAGAACATAAGATCTAGAAGCAGGAGTAGGCAATTCAACCTTAGAATCTGCTCTGCCATTTAAAACAACAATGGCTGATCTCAACTCAGCCTCAACTCCTCTTTCCTACTCGGTCTCCATAACCTTTCAACCTGTCAATAATAAAACATCTGTCTATCTCCTTTAAATTTACTCAATGTCCCAGCATCCACCACATTCTGGTGTAGTGAATTTCACAGATTCATGACCCTTTGAGAAGCAATTTCTCCTCATTCCTGTTTTAAATCTGTTACCCTATCCTAACATTATGACTCATCCTTCTAGATGCTCCACATGAGGAAACATTCTCTCTACGTCTACTTGGTTAATCCCCTTTAGCAGCTTGTACACCTCGGTTAGATCTCCTCTCGTTCTTCTAAACTCCAGAGAGTACAGGCCTAAGATGCTCAATCTTTCTTGATAGGACAAACCTCTCCTCTTTGGAATTAACCTCTGAACTGCCTCCAGTACATTTTCATCCTTCCTCAAGTAAGGGGACCAAAATTATTCACAATACTACAGGTGCAGTCTCATTAAAGGCTTCAGTCGCAGCAACACTTCCCTCCTTTTATACTCTATTCCTTTAGCAATAAATACCAAATGCTGTTTGCCTTCCTTATAATCTGCTGTATCTGCATACTAGTTTTCTGTGATTCATGCACAAGGACACCCAAATCCCTCTGCACCGAGCACTCTGAATTTTCTCTTCATTTAGGTAATAACTTACCTTTCTATTCCTCCAACCAAAATTGATAACCTCTCACTGATCCACATTAAACTTCATCTGCCAGATTTTGACCTATTCACCTAAACTATCTATAATCCATTTGTAAATTTCTTATTTCTTTATTGCAACTTATTTCCCACCTATTTCAGATGTGTCAACCACAGAATTGCCAGAGAGAGGGCTGAAATTAATGGTCAGAAAATTGTGTTTTTGACAGGAACAAAAACAATGGCTTTGGACTTAAGAATATTTAGTTGGCAATTTCTGCTTCTACAGTTGGGCAAACAGCCCTAATTTAAAACAGCGAAGGAATTAAGAGAAATAGTGGTGAGGCACAGCTACGTGGTAGCAGAACTTGTGGAAACAGACACTTTTTAGATAATGTTGTTATGCAGTAACAAGTAGATGAGAAACAGAATGGGGCCAAGGATATTTCCTTTGGGGACACCAGAGTTAACAACACGAGAGAAGCCAATAAAATGGTTTCCTGGCCATGATTACAAAGATAAGCATGGGAGCAGGTAAGTTCAATCTTGTCCAGCTGGGTGATGTTGGAGGAAGATAGCCCAGCTAACTACGTCTGGTGCAAGAATAGACAGAAAAATCATTGCAGATGATTTTCTGATTATGGTAATAACTGAGAATGGAACCAGGCCAGTGCAATTATATCCAGCTGGATGACATTAGAGAGATGTTGCAGGAGGAGAATATGATCAGCAGCTGCAATCAAGTAGAGAAGGAAGAGGATGAATAGATTACCTTTGTCACAATCAAATGTAATTTGTGATCTTCTTAGGATATATTTCAGTACTGGAAGATGCCAACGTGATTGGATGAATTGAAACTTGGGAGTTTTGGGAAAGATGGGTAGAAATTTTGGAAGTGATATGGACAGCGGTTTTAAGTAGGAACAGGGTGGAAACAGTAGGAATTTGGTATTGAGCAAGGTGAAGATGGGAGAGAAAGATGAGCTCTGGCAACAGTAAAGTGTTGAAGAAAACAGGCCCAGTAGAGCAGGGCAGGAGTGGAAAATATCAGGCAGCCGAGTGGATGACTTCAATCCAAGGGACAAGTTGCTGTACTGCTTAATCCCCTCTGCACCTGTATCCTGAACCCTCGCCAACAAGTTAAAGAACATGATTTAATGTGGAGGGAAAAAGCCAAGGCGCTTATCTGGACGATCCCGAATAATCAGTTTTCATTGTTAAGAGTAGCGTCTGCTGGTATTTTATGATGGTCTGGTCAGATCTCACATGAATGATTACAAATTGCCTGTCATATCTTTTCAAATCTGTGTTTCTTGGATTTAAGGGAACAGAGAGGACAGCCAAACAACAGGACAGGAGAGAGGAATAGCTTTATTGGGAACTAGAAACATAGGTGAGGATGTAGTTGAACAGATGGGCAGTTGCAGAAATATTGTAATGAATGCAGGGCTGTAGATGAGACAATTGGGTTTTCAGAAATACAGTTGGAGATGAATTAGGAGATTGTTCCAGAGGTTCACGTGGAAGGAAGAAGGTTGGGAGACAGCAGTTAGACATGGGTGAAATGCAATACAAGTGAGTGATCAGAGATGGCCATATCTGTATCTGACATAAGATTAGCAAGACCACAAGAAATGGAAAGATCAAGGGTATGTTGTAAATGTGAGTTGGGGATTTGACCAGATGATAAACAATAAGGAGGAATAGGCAGCCATTGGAGACAGATGATGATGAATTCAGGTGGAAATTTGAATCACACAAGATGAGTCACTCCAGGAGAATTTTTATGGCACTTTGATAGTCACTAGAGAATAAAGAGGTGAGAACAGGAGGAGATCCTCAAAAGAGAAGATAAAGCCAGTGAAGTGACAGATCAAGATGTAATTTCATGAGAGGAAGACAATAATAAATTGTGTGGGGCAACTGATGGAATGTTATTAGGTAGGGCATGGTGGAGGAGGATTCATTTAGACAGAAAGTATCATCACTCCTTGAACTGAATATGAACAAGATCATGATGTTGATGTAGTCATTCACAATAACCTGGTAAGGGCCTTGTTAAAAGAGAACAGATCTTCTGGACGGAGATGTGATGGAAGGACAATGATAGGTGATATACTTAGCATCAGTACTGGGTGGGCTACACTTGGTAGGGAAGAAACTGGTAAGGTTAGTCCATTAACTAGAGTCATAATTACAACTGGTACCTTTGCTTGTGTCTAATTTCCTGTTTCATACCTTCCCTAACATTACCACTACAGTATGGGGGTCTGTATATAACCGCACATATTGTTTTTTGCTTCTTGGTGTTTCTAAGCTCTATTCCTATAGATTTCACTTCACCAGAGCTAATATCCTTCCATTTCATCTCTGCTGCTACTCTGCATCATCACTAACTGTCTAGAGACTGCTGGACCAGTTGCCACTTTTTTAAACGATTGGTAACAAGCTCCTCCCAATCAATATCAATGCTGCTGCAAAGAGGGGTTCAGAAACCTTGTAGTATTTTCTTTGTCCTCCACTGAAATGCTGGACATTTGAGAGTTGAAGTGGGACCCAATGAGGGAAATGCTTTTCAGCTGTCTGGCCAGTGTCCAGTCTATTGCAATAAGTTTTACAGGAGTTTTATCTGAGTACTTATTCACACATTTTGGCCTTTTTTTTTCCTTGCACAGAAGGGAGTTTTTAATCAGTTCATGGGATGTTGGTGTGGCTGCCTAGACCAGCATTTATTACCCATCCCTAATTGCCCTGTAAAAGGTAGTAGTGAGCTGACTTAATTTTCTACAGTGCTCGGGACACCCTCTGGGCTGTTAAGAAAGGAGTTCCAGTATTTTGATCCAGAGACAGTGAAAGAATTGTGATATAGTTCCAAGATAGGGGTATATCTTGGAGAGAAACTTGCATATAAGGGAATTCCATGCATTTGTCCTTCCAGTAAGATGGTGGCAGGATAAGACGCTCCAATTGGAGCTCCCCTGCTTGCCAGTTCCTTTTCCTTTCTTTTTCCTTTTTTTCTCTCCTCTCTGATGAGTTGCAACCAGAGACCGGGCAGGAGCTGAGCATGCAGGCCGTGTCCCACAACGGCAGCACAGTGAGCACGGGCCGGACTGATAGCAATAGATCGAACGTGGGCTAGCCAGTGTCCTGGAGCAACAGAGAGGCCACGATTCTGGAGTGAAGGAGGAGCTGAGTCCCTGGAATGACAGAGGGGTCGAGGTACAAATCCTGGTACAGCATAACTTACCTGGTTGCTGGTGAGGAGCCGATTGGAGGCTGGAGTAATGCAGGACAATTGCTGAACTTGGGTCTGGCATCACATGCTGAGCTGCTGTTACTGGACTGTAATTTAAATCCTTTTTACTATATTTTAACTACCTCTGTAAGTAATGTTTATGCTTTCCTTTAATCCTCTGTATAACAACACTTTCTTTTTTAGTCTAAGATTTGTACCTAGGTACTTGTACCTAAGATGGAGCTATTGAGAAGCAGCCATTGTAAAAACTTTTCACTCTGTACTCCTATACTTCTGTACTGGAGTACAAGTGACAATAAAGGATGTTCTGTTCTATTCTGTTCTAGGTGACAGTGGATGCAGATTTGGAAACTGCCATCAGGAGCCTTTGTGTGCGAACACAGTGTATCTCATAAATAGCACGTACTTCTTCCGTAGTGCATTGGTGGTGAAGGCAATGAATGGGATGCCAATTAAATGGGTTGCTTTGTCTTGGATGGTGTAAAACTTATTGAGTGTTGTTGGAACTGTGCTGATCCAGGCAAGTGGCATGTATTCTATCATGCTCCTAACTTATGACATTATGGTTGGACAAACATTGGGAAGACAGGAGGTCAGGTAGTCTCTACAGAATGCCTAGCCTTTGAACTGCTATTGTATCCACTGTATATGGCTAATCAGTTTCTGGTTAGTGTAAATCCCAGGATGTTTATCATGGGCAATTTAGTGACATTTGCTCCTTAACATTTAATGGTGGTATAATAAGATTCTCTCTCATCAGAGACAGTTATTACCTGGAACTTGTATAGCACAAGTGTTACCTTCAACTTATCTGTTCAAACCTGAATTTTGTCCAGATCTTATCGCACGTGGACATAGATTGCTTCAGCATCCGAACTGGCATGAATGATTATGAATACTAGATAATCATCAGTAAACACTCCCACTTCTCACCTCATGTCAGAGAGATCATTGATAAAGCAGCTTTAGATGGTTGTGCCTAGTACACCACCATGAGAAACTCCTGAAGTAATGTCCTGGGACTGAGATGCTAAGACTTTCAACAACCAAAACAACTTCCTTGATGCTATAATAATACAGAACTACAAATGCTGGATGCTACAAAAATTGCTGTGAAACTCAACAGGTCTGCCAGCAGCTGTGGGTAGAAAGCAGAACTAATGTTGAGTCCGGTGCCTCTTCATCAGAACTGATAGCACTGATAGCAGCTAGGAAAAAGTGGTATTTATGCTGAAGACAGGAGTATGTGTATATGATGTGTTTGTGTGTGGGGGGGGGGTTGGGTGTGAGGAATTGTGGATGTGTGGTTGAAGCAAATACCTGCAGATAGAGCCTAGAGAAAGACAGAGATATGAAAGGGGTAAGCTTTTATTCATAGTAGCCCTGGACAGAAGAGAAGCTGAATAAGTGATAATGAGAACTGAGAGTAGGAGAGAATGGTTAGGCTGTGCTGGAAACAACACATGTTCTGTGATAATAGCATCAGAGAGATTGTGAATGCGTTGGCTGTGCTAAAAGCAATCTATGTCATGCCAGGACCTGGGTGTGGGGAGGGTGAGTGGAAAACATGAAAGGGCAAAATTAGGCTGTAAAGTTATTGAACTTGATGTTGGATCTTAGACATTTCAAGGTCCCTAAGTAAAAAATGAGATGCTGTTCTTTGAGCTTGCACAGAGGCTCGCCAGAACACTGTAACAGGCCTGTGACAGAAATATGGGTGAGGGAAAATGATGGTGTGTTTAAGTGGCAGGCAACTGGAAGCTGTGTATTTTTACGCACAGAAAGTAGGTGTTCTGCATAATGGTCAGCCGGTCTGCATTTTCTCTCCCCAGTGTAGAGACCACACTGTGAACAGCAAGTACAGCAGATTAGACTGAATGAAGTGCAAGTAAATCACTGCATCATCTGGAAGTTATGTCTGGGGCCTTGGACAGTGAGGATGGAGAAGCTAAGCAGACCGGTATTACACCTGGGATTGCATGGGAAGTGCCGTGAGGAGAGGTTGGGAATGGAGGAGTGGACCAGGATGTCCCAGAGTGAACAACTCCTGCAGAATGCTGACAAAGGAGGGGAAGGGAATTTGTGTCTGATCGTGGTATCCCGCTGGAGGTGACAAAAATGGCAGCTTACAATCCTTTGGATGCCGAGGCTGTTGTATGGTGAGTGAGAACAGCGGGGATCCTATCATCGTTGTGGGAGGGAAGAAAAGGGACAAGGGCAGAAGTGTGAGAGATGGGTCAGACATGTCTAAATACCCTGTCAACCATGGTAGAGGGGAACTCTTGGTTGAGGAAAAAGATGCGACGTTTCTGCGGCTCCATTACCAAAGATGGCATCATTACTGTGGATGCGACAGAGATGGAGAAACTGGGAGAATGGGATGGAGACCTTACAGTAAGCAGGATGTAAGGATGAATAGTCCAGGCAATTGTGTGAGTCGGTGGATTTATAATGAATAACGGTGGCCAGCCTATCCCAAGAAATTGAAACAAACATATCGAGGAAGTGAGGAGTGAGGGATAGACCAGCTGAAAGTGAGAACAGGGTGGAAACTGGATGTGAAATTGATAATTTCTTCCAGTTCTGAATGACCGGGAAGCTGCACCGAAGATATCAGTGATGTACTAGAGATGCACATCCTTCCATTTTGTTCACCCAACCCCACACCAGTCCTGTCATGACACAGATTGCTTTTAGCATAGCCTACACTCTTTTCCTACTCTCAGCTTTCATTATCATTTATTCAGCTTCTCTTGTGTCTTGGCCTACTACCAATAACCCCCCTCATTTGCTGACATCTTTCATGTCTCTCTTTTTCTTTCTCTCTCTCAGGGCTCCATCTGACTGTTTGCTCACCTCCCCCCATCACATTGTCTTTTTCCTAGCTCCTAACAATTCTGACTCAGACTCAAAATGTTAGCCCTGCTTTCTCTCCACAGATGCTGCCACACCTGCTCAGTTTCACCAGCAAATTCTGTTTTTGTAGAGTGGGAATGATATAGCAAACCACAAGGTCATAGATTGTAGTTGAATACAATTCTGCTGCATATGATGGTCCACAGCAGTTCGTGGGTGCCCAGGTTTGAGTTCCTAGATCTATCCAAATTCTATCTGCTATACAAGAAGAGGGCATCCTCAACCAAAAAGTGGGGCTTTGTTTGCACAATGACTATAGTGGTCACTTCTTCCTTTTCAGTCAAGGACAGATGAATCTGCTAAGTGTAGCCTGGTTATGACAAGATCAAGTAAATTTTTGTTGGTTTTCCTCAGCACCAGCTGCAGGTCCTGTCTAGTAGCCAAGTATTTTAGCACTCGGCCAGCTCAGTCAATAGTAGTGGTGACAAGCCATTCTTGATGATGGACACCAGAGTACATTATGTGCCTTATCCAGCATCAGTGCTTTTTCCAAGTGGTGTTCAATAAGGAGTAGTAGCTTTCATTATTCAGGGGGTGATTAATTGGGGTTTCCCTTGCCCAAGTTTAACCTGGTGCCAATCTCTGGAGTCAATGATGAGGAGTCCCACGTCATTTCTTCCCCCACTGTATACTACTGTATCACCACCTATGGTGGGTCTGTCCTGCAGAATGGACAGAACATACCTTGGGATTGTATTTGTGGTATCAAGGACATTAAGGTATGACTTGTGTGTATGTCTATGTCAGGTTGTTGCTTGATTGAACGCAGCCCAGTACGTCACGCAAACCAGACTGACTGTCTATACTTCCTTCAGCCTTGGGAAAGGAGCCAATGTAATTAAAGACCCTTCCCACCCTGGTTATACTCTTTTCCATCAGGCAGAAGATACAAAAGATTAAAAACATTTACCAACAGAATCAAATCAGCCTCTTCCCTGCTGTTATCAGACTTTTGAAAGGACCTCTCACATATTAAAGTTGATCTTTCTCTGCACCTTCTCTGTTGCTGTTAACACTACAGCCTGCATTCTATTCCATTACCACATCGTACTTATATAAGGTATGATTTGCCTAGTTAGCGCACATGACAATACTTTTCATTGTATCTCGGTATATGTGATAACAATAAAGCAAATCAAAATTGAAGACTAGCTCTCCCAATTTTGGCACAATCCCCCAAATGTAAGTGAGGAAGACTTTGCAGGGTTGCCAGAGCTGTGTCACTGCCATTGTCATTTCTAGTGCCTATGTCGATGCCAATTGGTCCATCTGGTTTAGTCTCAGTCCTGCGACATTATCACATGGACAATGTATTAAAGAGACTCTATCCTTGGTCGGACCACTGTTGCTCTGTGTTGGTTTCCACCAGGTATTCCAGTTTCCTCCCACTGTCCAAAGATGTGCAGGTTAGTTGATTTGGCTATGCTAAATTTTCTATAACGTGCAGGCCAGGTGGATTAGTTGTGGTAAAATGCAGGGTTACGGGGATACGGTGGGATGCTCTTCGGAAGGCCAGTGCAGACCCACTGGGCCAAAAGGCCTCTTACTGCATTCTAGGGATCCTACGATTCTAAACATCATATTCATGGCCATTCCTTCAACATAACTCGGTCAAAATTCTAAAACTCCCTAAGAGCACTGTGGGTTCACTAACACCACATGGGCAACAGCAGTTCTGGAAGCTCATCATTACCTTCACAAGCGTGGTTCAGGGTGGGCAATAAATGACGGGTGGCCAGCATTACCCAATCCTGTGAATGAAAAAAAAGACAGCATCTAGCAACAAACACATATAAATCAACAGGAGCAGAGTGATCAGCTGTCATGTAGCACTTGATTATTCTTCTGGTGAGACAATATCCTCTAGCCAAAGCATCAGGCTCTTGTTGACTGCAGTGCTGGACCTTTTTTTCTATGTTAATTTTTATATCTTATTTCATTGTTCTCATTGTTTCCCTTCTGAGGCAATGAGTTGCGCATACCTAAACTGTGTGCGAAATACGAGGTCTGTCTTTTCCCAGTCAATCAAATTCTAGAGTTATACATAGGACAGACGAAGAAAGGATAGCAGATTTCCTCCTCTAAGGGGAATAAACGACGTTAATTTATCAGCCAACTGCTGTGATAGGATTTGAAAACCTTTCCTCAGAACCCGGTCCTTTCATTATTGAGACAATGGCATTACCACTACAGCACCATGTCCCCAATTGCTCCATGAGTGATTGGAATGCACAGGCTCCATCTCGTGTGGATACAGACACTCTGAAATCTTTCTGTCTACATTGTGCCCTTTATTTTGCAACTGCCTCGGGATTCTTTTTGGACTACTTATTGACATAGCTCTTTCTCATCAATTGCTTTTGCAAACTAGAAGACTTGTTTTTCAGACTCTCTTCAGTAATTTCTGTCCATACGTTGTTTTTTGTTTGCGATTACACCAAGTCAATATTTCCCAGAAGTTGCAATGCGAAGAATGTTGAGCGACGTACAGCATAGTCAAACCCATCCCCTGGAACTCGTGGATTGCCGGCTTTTGATAAGGAGTGGGTGGAAATTAATTTTGCTGAACCGACTGTAACCATACCTCACTTAGACAGACGTTCCACTGACTCTTCACAAACAAACCAGAACCCACTACAACAAGGTGCAGAGCTGGATGAACACAGCAGGCCAAGGAGCATCATAGGAGCTAATCTGTTTTGTCGCCAAACTTTCTCTCACAGCCGTTATCTGGATTTATGTTGCACTGTGGGAATCACTGGAGGTCTTGACCGGATTGGTCCGGTTTGGGCCGGTTACTGCGCTGCCTGGGGGTGGGCGGCAGAGAGCCGTTTAAAGATGGCAGTCGAGGAGTTGTGTTTCAAGGAGTCGGCTCTCGTTTACTTAGATAGGACTGGAGGTCTTCACAGATTTATCAACGATTGTATTCGCTATAATGGTAATTTTCAAAAGGAGATCTACCTGCAAACATTCATCCAAAATTGTATTAATGGGATGGTATTTTAAAACAAAAACTAATTGCATTAGAAACGGCAAGGAACAGAACAAGCAAAATTATTGGACTCCAGTCCAATGATGCTTCTTCAGTTCTGAAGAATGTTCAGTGGACTCGAAAGGTTGCTTCTGCTTCTATCCATAGACGCTCCCAGATATGCTGAGTTTCTTCAGCAACTTCTATTTTTGCTTCAGATTTTCAGCATCTGCAGTTCTTTATTTTTATAAAATTATTGGAATTATTATTACAGTTAATTATCATTATTAGCGCAGATCTTCATGCTGAAACATTCCTCGCATCTGTTTGTAGTCCAAATATTGACCACTCCACATAAATACAAATGTATAACCTAAAACAAAGAACTGTTGATGCTGGAAAGAAATAAAACTAGAAATTGCTGGAGAAACTCAGCAGGTCTGGCAGCATCTGTGGAGAGAGAAACAATCAACGTTTCAAGTGATTATAGTTAAGAAGAGTCCCATTTACTGTTAAGTGTGTAGGTATCTTAGTTACATGGTCAACATATATTCACAAGGTGCTGAAAAAGGCCTCTCACTGGATCTTCACCCATTTAGAAATAACTCATAGTTCCCCAGCCAAGATGTACTATGCTATTGATTGCTAGCTGTGAATTAGATCAGTTTATTTTGAATCATAGAGTGCAAGTTATGAATGTAGGTTAAAACCACATCAGTTGTAGTACCATTTCCTGGAGGACTGTCATTCAGCACTATCTCCAATAATTTTTGCCGTTTACTGCCCCTCAGTCAGTTTCTTTATTATTTTCAAATTACATGAATTCCTGTTGTTTTAGAAAGAACAAAGAAAATTACAGCACAGGAACAGACCCTTTGGCCCACCAAGCCTGCACCGACATGCTGCCCGTCACAAATAAAACCTCCTAACCTTCCGGGGACCATATCCCTCTATTCCAATCCTATTCGTACATTTGTCAAGACACCCTTTAAAAGTCACTATAGTATCTGCTGCCACTACCTTCTCCAGTAGCGAGTTCCAGGCACCCACCATCCTCTGTGTAAAAAACGTGCCTTGTATATCACCTTTAAACCTTGCCCCTCGCACCTTAAACCCATGGCCCCTGGTAACTGATTCTTCCACCCTGGGAAAAAGCTTCTGACTGTCCCATCTGTCCATGCCCTTCATAATCTTGTAGACCTCTATCAGGTTGCCCCTCAACCTCCGTCGTTCCAGTAGAACAACCCAAGCTTCTCCAACCTCTCCTCATAGCTAACGCCCAGGATACCAGGCAACATCTTTTCTGTAGCCTCTCCAAAGCCACCACATCCTTCTGGTAGTGTGGCGACCAGAACTGAACACAACTGAGGAAGGGTCACCGGACCCGAAACGTTAACTCTGTTTTCTCCTCCACAGATGCTGCCAGACCTGCTGAGCTTTTCCAGTAACTTTGTTTTTGTACAATATTTTAAATGCGGCCTAACTAAGGTTCTATAAAGCTGCAACATTACCTGCCAATTTTTAAACTCAATATCCTGGCCGATGAAGGCAAGCATGCCATATACCTTGTTGACTACCTTTTCCACCTGCATTGCCACTTTCAGTGACCTGTGTACTTGTACACCCAGATCCCTCTGCCTATCAGTACTTAGGGTTCTGCTGTTTACTGTATATTTTCCATCTGGATTAGACCTTCCAAAATGCATTACTTCACATTTGTCTGGATTAAACTTCATCTGCCATCTCTCTGCCCAAGTCACCAACTGATCTATATCCAGCTGTATCCTTTGACAGTCCTCATCACTACCCTCAATTCCACCAACCTTTGTGTCGTTGGCAAACTTACTAATCAGACCAGTTACATTCTCCTCCAAATCATTTATATATTTTACAAACAGCAAAGGCTCCCAACACTGACCCCTGAGGGACGCCACTAGTCACAGTCCTCCATTCAGAAACGCACCCTTCCACTGCTACCCTCTGTCTTCTATGACCAAGCCAGTTTTTTATTCATCTTGCAAGCTCACCTCCGACCCCGTGCGACTTTACCTTCTGTATCAGCCTGCCACGAGGGACCTTGTCAAAGGCCTTACTGAAGTCCATGTAGACAACATCCACTGCCTTACCCTCATTGATTATCTTTGTCACTTCCTCAAAACACTCAACCAAGTTAGTGAGACACGACCTCCCCTTCACAAAACCATGTTGCCTCTCGCTAATACACCCATTGATTTCCAGGTGGGAGTAAATCCTATCTCAAAGAATCCTCTCCAATAATTTCCCTACCACTGACGTAAGGCTCACTGGCCTTTATTTTAAAGAAGAATCTCCTTATTTAACTTTAAGTAGTTTTGAGAGTAAAAGCCCCATGAAGCTTTATGCAGTAAATCAGTAATAGCACTTCCTTAAAAGCTTTGTGAAGAAGGATCTGTACTTTATGAGTATGATGACTGATCTTTACAGAACCATAAAACAACCTAAAGCATCAAGTCTGCACCGGCTGTCCTCATGAGTGTCATTCTTCTCCCTTCTCTCTGCAATCCTGCATGGTCTTCCCTTTCAAATCACAGTCTAATTCCTTTTTGAATACTTCTATTGAACCTGCCTCCAGCACACTTTCAGGCAGTGTAATTCAAACTTTAATCACTTGCTGTGTATAAGCGTTTTCTTTATATCACTTTTGCTCCATCATTATGTACACTCATGCCTTGTGAATGATGAAGATTTAGTCTCTCACATACCAGAATATAAGGCAACAAGGATCGGTGCTGGGTTCACTGCTTTTCATAATTTCTATAAATGACTCAGATGTGAACATAGGAGGTATGGTTAGTAAGTTTACAGATGACACCAAAATAGGTGGTGTAGTGGACAATGAAGAAGATTATCTCAGACTACAGTGGGATCTTGATCATAGGAGTGGCAGATGGAGTTTAATATAGATAAAATGTGAGGTGTTGCCTTTTGGTTAGGCAAACCAGGTCAGAACTTAGACACTCAATGATAGAGCCCTGTTGTTGCCAGAAAAAGACAATGTGTATAGTTCCTTGAAAGTGGAATCGCAGGTATACAGGGTGGTGAAGAAAGCATTTGGCATGCTTGCCTTCATTGGTCAGAATATTAAGTATAGGATTTGGGATGTCATGTTGCGGCCGTTGAGGACATTGAAGAGGCCACTTTTAGAATACGGTGTACAATTCAGGTCTCCCTGCTATAGGAAAGGTGTTGTTAAAGTTGAGAGGATTCAGAAAAGATTGACAAGGTTGTTGCCAGGATTGGAGGGTTTGAGTTACAGGGAGAAATTGAATAGGTTGGGACTCTTTTCCCCTGGAGCGTTGAAGGCTGAGGTGTGACCTTATAGAGGTTTATAAAATCGTGAGGGCATGGATAGGGTGAATAGCCCAGATCTGGTGGAAGAGCCCAAAACTAGAGGGCATAGGTTTAAAGTGAGAGAGGATAGATTTTAAAAGGACCTGAGGGGTAACTTTTTCATGCAGAAGGTAGTGCATGTATGGAACAAGCTACCAGAGGAAGAGGTGGAGATTGGTACAGTTGAACATTTAAAAGGAATTTAGATGGATATGGGCAAAATGCTGGCAAATGGGACTAGGAGGAGGTGAAAGGGCAGAAGTTGCATCTTGCACATAAAAGTGTCATAAGGAATGGAGGGGTTGTTAGGGATGATGAATGAACAAGGGTGTCGCAGAAAGAATGATCCATGGAATAAGGGGAGGCTGGGAAAGATATGTTTGGTGGTTGCATCATACTGGAACTGACAGAAATGACAAAGGAAGATTTGTTGAATACAGCGGTGGTCGGCTGAAAGGTGAGGACAAGTGGAACCTAGCTGTGGTTCTGGGATGGAGGAAAAGGGATGAAAGCAGAGCTGCGTAATGGGGATTGAATACTAATCACCACACTGGGTAGGAATCCTCAGTGGAGATAAAAAGGAAGAAATGCTGAAACAAACACAGGGAATGCTGGAGAAACTGAAGAAGTCTGGCAGCATCTCTGGAGAGAGAAACAGAGTTAGTGATTTGAGTCTGGTGTAACTTCTTTGCTAACAGAATTGACAAAGGAAAACTGATGGACTTAAATTTTCAGAAAGCTTTTGATAAAGTCTCCCACATGAAGTTAGTTACAAAGCGTAGTTCCCATCTCATGTGCTTTAATGTACTGGCATGGATTAATAAATACTGAAAAAAACAGAGAATAGGAGTAAGTGGGTAATTCTCACCTTGGCAGACTGTGACTGGTGGGTTACAACAAGGATCAATACTTAGGTCCCAGTTTTTCACAATATATGTTAACAATTTGGAGATGATGACCAAATGTAAAATTTCTAAAATTTCCAAATTTTCAAGTGATGCAAAGCTAAGTGAAAATGTGTGTTGTGAGGGAGATGTAAAGAGGCTTCAGGAGGATTTGGATAGTCTTAGTAAATGGGCAAGATCAAGGCAGCTGGAATACAAAGTGGAAAAATGTGAGGTTATCCACTTTGGTAGGTGAAACAGATGTGCAGGATATTTCTTAAATGGTAAAAGATTGGAAATATGTTTACATTTGGTCTAAAATATATTTATTTCACAGATTCCAAACAGTGTCTTGCTATTTATCGCTTCATTATTTGTGTGAATCCAGCTGACGTGACAGAGTTGGATGCAAGGCTTGGTAACTGTATTCTTCATCAGCCAATAAGAGCTGCGCACTTGTTTCAGTCTGTGAGTAAAAAAAGAAAAATCCTGACTGATGTAGTTTGAACTCATATGATTTTAATTGTATTCCCAAAATACTAAATAATCAAAGGGCGCAAGGAGGCTGCGGGAGGGACATAAATGCAATAACTATCACTAGAAAAAAGGTACTGAGGAAACTGGGCCGAAAAGTCGTCTTCAGCTGATGGATTGCATCCTAGAATTTTAAAGGAAGAAGCTACAGGGATAGTGGGTGCACTGGTAGTAATCTTCTAAGAATCCTGTTAAGTACCAGAGGATTGGAAATCTGCTAAAGTAGCACCCTTATTCAAAAAGAGAGGCAGACAAAAAAGATAACTATAGACTAGTTAACTTAACATCTGTTATTGGAAAAATGACAAATAGTCTCTTAAAAAAAGGATGTAGTAGCAGAGTATTTAGAAATATATAATAAAGCAGAGTCAGCATGCCTTCATGAAGACGAAGTCATACCTGCCAAAATTTATAACAGTTCTTTGAGGACAAAACAAGCAGGATAGATAAAGAGAAACCAGTTGAAGTAATATATCTTAAAAGGCATTTGATAGGTACTGCTGTTTAGTAAGAGCCCATGGTGTTGGGGATAGTATATTAGCATGGGTGGAGAATAGAACTAATAGAAGCCTGAGAATTGGAACAAAGGGTGTATTTTGGGGATGGCAACCTGTAACTAGTGGAGTTGTGGCCACAGGGATCAATATTGAGGCTACAATTATTCACAATATATATTGATGATGGAAGTAAACTTTCTAAGATCCATAAAGACCTGCAGAAAGATCTGCGGATAGCTACAGTACAGAGGGACTTGGGAATCCTTGTCCATGAATCATGAAAAATTAGCATCCAAGTTCAGAGGATAATAAGGAAGGCAAATAGAATGTTGGCCTTTATTTCAAAGGAAATGGAGTATTAGAGTGAGGAGATTTTGCGAAATCTATACAAGACACGAGTAGACCATAGCAGGAATGCTGTGAATAGTTTTGGGCCCCTTATCTAATGAAAGATATACTGGCATTGGAGGTAGTCCAGAGGAGGTTCTCTAGGTTGCTACCGATATGGTGGAACTGTCTTACAATGAGAAGTTGAGTAGTTTGGGCCTGTACTTATTGGAATTTAGAAGAATGAAAGATGACCTTTACTGAAAAATTAAGATTCTTAGGGGACTTGACAGAGTAGATGTGGAAAAGTTGTTTCCTCTTAGGAGAGTCCGGGACCAGAGATCATAATCTCAAAATAAGGGATCACACATTTAAGATAGAGATGAGTAGGAATTTCTTCCAGCAGAGTGAATCTGTGGAATTCTTTACTGCAGTGAGCTGTCAAGTTTGGGCTATTAAGTATATTCAAGGCTGCAACAGACTAGTTTCTAATCATTAAGGGAATCAAAGATTATGGGGATAAAGCAGGCGATGGATTTGAGGATTATCAGATTAGACATGATCTCATTGAATGGCAGGGCAGACCCAATAGGCTGAATGGCCTACTTCTGCTCCTACATCTTGTATCCTTTGTTATCTTTCAGGTTTGCTTTACATCAATCAAGACATTGTCATTAATTGAACAATTAGAAACAGAAAACCAGGTAAGTAATCGTATCTAATTCAGATTAAACATAATCTAGTCTAGTGAGCTGTTTGTATCATAGGTCTTCTTCACATACAGAATGCAGAGAATTTATTTTCTGAGATTTAACTCAATTATTTCTCAATTCATAATTTCAACACATTGACCTTCTTCATTCTACAAGAATCAAACAAAAAAATGTATCAAGGGTTGACCAATTTTGTACACTTTTAGCTCTCAAAAGTGATACCAAAGCAAACATATAATGTAATATTAAATATGTCAATTAACTTGATTATCATTTATGATTATATAAGTGGTTAAAACAATTTTAAAACAATTCTAAACAGAAAGAAAATACAAAAAAGTTTAAACTCTTCCATGTGCTTGTCCTTTCGTTCCTCTTTTTCATTTATATCTTCCTTATTATCTCTGCCTTCATATTCTTTGTTCTATTTTAAATTTTTTTTTCTATGTAATAACTGTTCTTTTAACTTAATATCACAAACTAGCATTAATTGTTTGGCTTGTTTTTCTGTTCCTTTTTCCCCCAGGTATGCATTCTTTAAGGGCAGCTCGAGTCATAGTGTCACCATAGAGATCTACATAGAGAAAATACCCTTCAGACCATCGCATCCACACTGGTCAAAAACAACCGGCGAACTATTCTAATCTCATTCTCCAGCACTTTGCCCATCACCTTGTATGCCTTAGCATTGCAAGTGCACATCTCAGTACTACTTAAATGCTATGAGGGTTTTTGCTTCTATCACCCTTACTGGCGGTGAGTTCCAGATTCTCACCACCCTCTGGGTGAAAAAATGTTACCTCACATCCTCTCTAAACCTTCTACCCCTTACTTTAAAACAATTCCTCCTGGCCCATCAAGGGGAAAAAGTTTTTGTTCCTATCCACGATGTCTCTGCTTCTCATAACTTTATACATCTCAATCATGTGCCCTCTCAATCTCCTCTGCTGTAAAGAAAACAACCCCAGTCTGTCCAGTCTCTCTTCATAATTGAAACTCTCCAGCCCATCTGGTAGGTCTCCTCTGCACTCTCTCCAGCACTACCACATCCCTCCAATAATGTGGATTCTAGAACTGCACAGAGTACTATATCAGTGGCCTAATGAACGTTTTCCAGCATACCTCACTGCTCTTAAAGTCTATGCCTTAGCTAGTAAAGGCAACTATCCTACATGCCTTCTTAACCACTTCATAAGTCCTGATACCTTAAGGGATCAGTGTACATGCACACCAAGGTGCCTCTGATCCTTAGTACTTCCCAGGATCCTACTGTTCCACATATATTCCCCTGCTTGTTTGTCTTGCCCAAGTGCATAATCACACAATTCTACATTTTTAAATGTGTAAAACACTTCCACAAAAGATGAATTCCTTAAGCATGTCTTAAATTAGGTTTGGCATCACACTAAAATTGCTTGCAGCAATGCATGTAGCAGTGTGCAAAGACTTCATGCACCATTGCATTTCTCTATGTTTTTCATCTGGAAATTATGATATTGTTTTCTATGGTTCTAGATGATTTTGTTTTTCTTTAACTAAAAAATTAAACTGAAAAATATCAGGAAAGTAAAAGAAAAACTGAAAGTAAAGAATTATCTGCACTATTTATTGCTGCAGGCTTTGCTTCACATGGATCACAATTCCATCAGATGTTAATCTTGGTACTGCAGTAGAACTAAATACTATTTAACCTATTAAGGAAGTAAATGCTGACAGTAGAATTCAGTGAGAAGAGATATTTAGCTTATCCACCTTTATTTCTGTGTTCAAGATAAAATGATCTTCAGAGAACTGATTGTCATTCCCTCTTCATATAAGAAAGATGTATTTATTTAAATTGTCACACATCTCAAAATGAATTACTTTGAATACAATATTACTGTTACTAAGGCAAAGTACTATCCCTTTGTACATAGCACATACAGTACTCCCTCAATACTGCCCTGAGGTGTCGCTTGCATTATGTACTCAAATCCTTATGGCCAAGAGCCAAGAATGTTACTAACTGAACCGTATTGACACAAATGGAAATCTATTGTCGCTGAAAGACCAAATTCTTAAAACAAACCTTTCCACTGATAACTTACTTTTGTATTTTCAAGGTTAATGTTGTGCTAAAGCTGACACACTTACCTCCACTACCAAATTACTCATTTAACCTCTGCCAGTTCCCCCGTGGGTACCAGCTGCTGAGATACTATAAGATAGAGGGAGTAGTGATTGCAATAACGACTGTAACCAAATACACTCAAGGTGCAAGATTTCTTTGTTCTGAATCAAGCTGCCCTTTTTCAACAGGTAAAACAAAGGCAAATTTATTTTAAGTCAAGCTCATGCTTTGTATCTGTTTTAATATTGTTTTATTCCATTATCATATAATTGCAGTTCAGTTTATATTGAAATTTGTATCTGAAAGTGTTCTAATTAAATACTGTATTTACAATTAATAATTGATAACTATTTTATAAACTGCTTACAAAGTTATTATTCAAAGGGTTTTATTCATTTTGGAAATATTCTTTCCCTTCCTCATTCCTAAGTTTTGTTTCCTTCCATAATATGTTCAGAATCATCTTAAGGCATCAGCAAGTTTAGCAGCTGTTACACGGGAGCTGGTGAGAGACTAACACTGCCTCTTCCAGGGAAGGACTGCAATCATCACAAGCCAGTTAGGCAAGGCTACCAGTGGACTTCCCCAGGAAGCAGATGCATGGGGATGGGGGTCCCTCTTGGAGGGAGCTGCTGACTAATCAGAGGCCAGTAGCCCTTACAGTGACATGTCACAGAGGAGGCCATGTCTGCTGCTGGAAGTACACGTACTCAGAGTCCAAAGATCGCTGAATGAACCAGGAGACAGGGTAGTGATGTGGTGGGGAAGTAGGTTTTTTTAGTTGGGGCTCTGCGTAGCTACAAACAGCAGCCACCTGCTAGCTTGTCTAAGCCCTTGATCAGACGCTGATTGCCTTGGATTGAGAGATCCTTGCCCATCCTTCCCTAAAATGACAAGCTGTCTGCAGAGGAACAGCCTTAGTGCATGCAATATACTAGCATGCTAGTTTGCCACTGGGTTAATACCAGCAGCGGTGGGCTAAGACCTTTGAATGGTCATTACTTGGCCACTTAAGGGTCTCACTTGGTTGGGCAGAAAACTTGACCATGGGTCTTCCTTCACTTAATTATCCACCTAATTAGGTTTCTTTCCTGCCTCCCAAATCACTACCGTAGAGAGCAGAAGATTTGCCCCACATCTTTGAAATGAAGAGAACATTTCAATTGCCTGTTGTTTTTAGCTTGCAGTATATCATAATCTAGTCAATCCCTAAAAACTAAAGAACTTAGTTGTAAACAACCAATCTCCATTTTTTCTCCAAAATCATTGAATATGTTGTCACCTCCCAAATGCAGTCCCATCTGGAATTTCCTTAAAACATATGAAGGTAGGTAAATCCCCAGGAACTGATCAAGTGTATCCCAGGACATTGTGGGAAGCTAGGGAAGAAATTGCAGGGCCCCTAGCAGAGATATTTGTATTATTGACAACCGTGGTTGAAGTGCTAGAAGACCAGAAGGTGGTTGATTTTGTGCCATTATTTAAGAAAGGCTGCAAGGAGAAGCCAGGGAACTGCAGACTGGTGAGCCTAACACCAGTCGTGGGGTGGCATGGTGGCTCAGTGGTTAGTAGTTCTGCCTCACAGTGCCAGCTGGTTCAATTCCAGCTCCGGGCGCCTATCTGTGTGGATTTTGCACATTCTCCCCTTGTCTCCTCCCACGGCCCAAAGATGTGCAGGTTAGGTGGATTGGCCATGCTAAATTACCAATAGTGTCCAGGGATGCGCAGGCTAGGTGAGTTACCCAGGGTAAATGCTGAATTACTGGTATAGGGTAGGGGTGTGGGTCTGGGCAGGTCAGTGGGGACTCAATGGGCTGAATGGCCTGCTTCTACACTGTAGGGATTCTATAAAGTTGTTAGAGGGGACTCTGGGAGGCAGGAACTACACACATTTCGAAAGGCAAGGCAGATTAGGGATAGTCAGCTTGGCTTTGTGCGTGGAAAATCATGCCTCACATATTTGATTGAGTTATTTGAATAGGTGACCAAGAATTTCGACGAAGGCAGAACTGTAGACATTGTCTACATGGACTTTATCAAGGTCTTCAACAAGGTTCTGCATGGTGTATTGGTTAGTAAGGTTAGATCACATGGGATCCCTGGAGAGCTAGCCAATTAGATACAAAATTTGCTTGATTGTAGGAGATAAAGGATAGTGGTAGAAGGTTGTTGTTCAGACTGAAGGCCTGTGACCAGCGGTGTACCGCAAGGATTTGTGCTGGGTCCACTGTTGTTTGTCATTTATATAAACGATTTGGATAAGAATATAGGAGCCATAGTTAGTAAGTTTGTGGATGACACCAAAATTGGTGGTATACTGGACAGTGAAGAAGGTTATCTAAGAGTACAGTGGGATCTTGGATCAACTGAGCCAGTGGACTGAGGAATGACAGATGGAGTTTAATTCAGATAAGTGCAAGGTGTTGCATTTTGGTAAGAAACCAGGGCGGGACTTACACAGCTAATGATAGGGCACTGGGGAGTGTTGTCAAACAGAGAGACCTGGGAGTGCAGGTACATAATTCCTTGAAAGTGGTGTCACAGGTAGACAGGATGATGAAGAAGGCGTTTGACACATTTGCTGCATCAGTCAGAGCACTGAGTTTCGACATCATGCTATGCTGTACAAGATATTGGTAAGGCTATATTTGGAGTACTGTGTACAATTCTGATTGCCCTGCTTTAGGAAGGATGTTATTAAACTGGAAAGCATGCAAAAAAATCCTCAATGTTGTTACCCAGATTGGAAGGTTTGAGTCACAAGGAGAGGCTGGATAGTCTAGGACTTTTAACTGTGGAGCAAAAAAGGCTGATAGATGATCTTATAGAAATTTATCAGATCATGAGGGGCCTTGATAAGGTGAATAAGGTCTTTTCCCCGGGGTAGGGTCGTCTAAAACTAGAGGGCATAGGTTTTAGGTGAGAGAGGTAAGATTTATAAAGGACCTGAGGAGCAACTTTTTCACAAAGGGAGTGGTGCATATGTGGAACGGGCTGTGAGAGGAAGTGGTAGAGGCCAGTACAATTACAACATTTACTTGGATAGGAACGGTTTAGAGACATGGGCCAAATACAGGCAAATGGGACTTGTCATCCATGTGCTCACTGACCCACTCAGTCAAGCAACACCTTGACTTTAAAATTTTCAGTGTTATTTTCAAGTCCTTTCAAGGTCTTTACTGCCCTATTTCTATAATCTCCCCCAACCTAGGAACCCTTGCTGCTACCCAGTTAAAATTGCTGCATCATTGGTTGTTGTGCCTTCGGTCACCTGGGCCCAGAACGCTAAAATTCCTTTCCTACGTCTCTCCCTCTCCTCTACCTCACTTTCCTGAATCAAAATACTTATTAAAGTTACCTGACACCTTTGACCAAACATTTGGTCATCTAACCTAATATTTTCTGTTGTGGTACAGTCTCATAATTTATTATAATGTTCCTATGAAGTGCCTTCATGAATTTCATTATGTTAAAGGTGCTTTATAAATATAACTTATTGTTATATTACACAAATCACATTGGCAGAATATCCCAATTATTTCATTTTTAAATAGTCTCTATGTTTGAATGCAGCAAAGTGCTGCATATAGAAAATGATCGATTAATCTATTTCAGTAGTAATGCTTCGTGGATAAATGTTGGCCAGTACTTTCTGATGCTAATGTAAGTGCCACCATTGAGACAAGTGACATTTGGTTATATGTAAGAATATTCAGCCAGAGGTCAGATGTATCACGTGGAGAATTTTGGGTCCGCTTATTTTGACCTTATCCTCACGCGTGGTGCATTAGTGCATCACTTTAGTTCCCACCACATTTGGAAGGAGATTTGCATATTAATTTTTATATTATATTATTACAATATTATATATTTTATAATACATATTGTCATTAAAAATATTTAATATCATTACATATATTAGGCTTTCAGTACATTCGAGTGCATACTGTAGGTGCTACAGAATCAGCAACTGTGCGAAATGATTTCACGTGCACTTTGTGTAACTCTGCACTCAAGGAAGATGTGAAATTCAGAGTGCTGGGTGGTATGTGTATAATTTCTTACATTATTAGCTTAATTCATTATATTCTAAATTTAATTATATATGAAATAATTATGTTTGGCACATTTTGGTGAGAGACATTTCTAAAATAACTTTTGTAAGTGTGTGGGTAGAATAGCTCAGGATTGAAGAACAGAATCTACGATAAACTTAATGCATGGTGGAAATAGAAAATATTGAGCTTCTGTCATAAAATTCTGATATACATTTGTATGTTTTGTTTATAATATCAGTAATAATAGTCAGTATGTTTGTGTATCAATGAACAATTAAGTTATTTGGGTATTACATAAGGATGTCAAATGGTACAAGTTTGAAACACATTCTCCCACTGGCTTAATTGGTTAAATAAATGATTGGTTGATCTACTCAAGGCAAGAAAAATCTCATTGTTCTGCGCCATTTGCTGAATTTTCTTATTGTAACCTGCATATTCACATATACGTTACAATTAACTTCAGTGGTTCAAAAATTACAGAGCAGAAAGTAGGCCAATATTCTTACTCTGCATTGCTAACTGGAGACACTTTTACTGTGGAGACAGCAGGTGGAAAGGACCCTCAGATGCCAGTCACCTATTTCTAAGACTCTGTAACCCCTCAATCCATGTGAAAACTCACAGTAATGGTCTGGAATAAATGGAATCCTGACCTTTTTTCCCTGCTTAGTCTGATCACTTGGTGTGTTGCTGGGCTATTTTAACACCTTGAAACAATAGCATAGCACTGTCTTTGAAGGAGAAAGCAAGTGAAACATTTTATCAAACCTTCCGAAATGTTTTGTTTTAAGAATATGTCAGTTTTTGTTGTTCAAGTTGTTTCTGTTTCTTACCCACCATCCACTTTATCATTCTGTTTGTACCATTTTTGGCAAAAACAAATATAATCTGTGTACATAACCATGAGTAGTACTCAACTTGAATTTATGCATTGCGGAGTCTTTGCATCAGAAGTTGAATTCTGGGCTGAGTAGGACCTGAAACATTGCAACATAGAAAATAGGAGCAGGAGTAGGCCATTCAGCCTTTTGAGCGTGCTTACAATTCAATATGATTATGACTGATCATCCAACTCAGTACCCTGTTCTTACTTTCTCTCAATACTCTTTTATCCCTTTAGGTAATATAATTCCTTGAAACTATTTAGTGTTTTGGCCTGTGAAAGAGAATTCCACAGGCTCACCACTCTGCAAGAAGAATTTTTTCCTCGTTTACAATACAATAATATTTCCTAAAATATTACTTTTGTTTTATCATATATTTTCAAAAGACAAACAGCTTGTTGAAATAATTGATGCAGCTGCCCTTGATGTTATTAAAGGAAATCAAGTCAACAGATCGTATTCTAGATACCAGTCTTTCACTGTATTCTTAAGGGGTGAGTTTTTTTTATTGTAACATTGGCTAAAATGTTGACAATCTTATTGAAATGGCAAATAGTGTTTCATGTTAGTAATCTTAAATAATTTAAGATTTCTTCTGTTACTGGTAAATGTTTGATTTTAGTCAGCAGGCTCCTAAAGTTGCACTATTTCAAATCTAATCAAATCTGGCATGATAGATCACATGATTAATTTTTGCATTTGATTACTGTTGTAGTTAGTCACTGAGACAGTGAAAATAGGTTTTCCCAAATAATTTCTCAGAATTTGCTTGGCCAGTGAATCATTAAGGGAATGAGGGAAAATTAAATGTTTTGTTGCTCTGTGAAATCAATCCATACATTATATATTATATTGTTATATATTATGCACTCATTTGGGGGAGGCAATGGCCCAGTGGTAATATCACTGGACTATTAATCCAGAGACTCAGGTAATGTTCTAATGACCCAGATATGAATCCTGGCACGGCAATGAAAATCTGAAATTAAGAGTCTAATGATGACCACAAATCCATTCTTGATAGTAGGAAAAAACCCATCTGGTTCATTAGTGTCCTTTAGGGAAGGAAAACTGCCATCCTTACCTGATGTGTGAATCTAGACCCACAGCAATGTGGTTGACTCCTGGGGATGGGCAGTAAATGCTGGCCTAACTTGCAATGCCCTCATTCCATGAATGAATGAAAACAGTTATGCTGTGCAGACATCAAAGATGCAGTTGAACTTTTCATGATTTTTCAGGGAGATGGAACATCTTTAGTTACTCCCATGATGACAGTATTGTTTATATTGCTACAATCTTTCATTCCTGATTGGGTACCAGAAGGCCCTTACTTTAACACAGTTACCACATAGGTAGGAGACTGGATCACTAATCAAAGGCTGACTCAGTTGTATATTCTGTTAGCCATTTTTATATGTGAGAGGAGGTTTTGTGCGGAACCATGGGAGCTTCAGCTTGTACTTGGGTTCACACATACAAATAGATAAGGAACATGTTAAAAGTCAGCTATAAAATACAACTTCAAAAACAGTGTTTAAACCAAGTAATCTTTGGCATTATAGTAGACCACAATATACGCATGAGGAAATGAGTGACCTTGACCTGCATGCAGAAAAGTACTGCTGAGGTCTTGGAAATTTCCAAGGCTCATAGTGAGTCACTTTTGTGCGTTCAGCTTGAGTGTGAATACTGAAGATACCAAATGCAGTTAAATTGTATTCTAAAATTAATTTGTGGGATTACTTTTCCAAATGGTGATGCAACAATCTATTCCTCTTTGAAGTAGTAGTAAAGTACCAGGTTTACCAGGATGCTGCCTGGATCACAGGGTATAAGCTATAAGGAGAGGCTGGACAAACTAGGATTGTTTTCTCTGGAATGGCGGAGGCTGAGGGGAGACCTGATAGAAGTTTATAAAATTATGAGAGGTATAGATTGTGTTGACAGTCAGAATCTTTTTCTCAGCGTTGAATTGTTTAATACTAGACAGCATGCATTTAAAGTAAGAAGTGGAAAGTTCAAAGGAGATTAGAGGAGCATGTTTTTTTTACACTGAGAGTGGTAGGTGCCTGGAACGCACTGCCAGGGGTAGTCATGGAGACAAATTCTATAGGAATGTTTAAGGGGCTTTTAGATAGGCACAAGAATAAGCAAGGAATGGAGAAATATGGACTGTGGGCAGGCAGAAGGGATTAGTTTAATTTGGTATCATTTTCGGCGCAATATTGTGAGCCGAAGGGCTTGTTTCTGTGCTATACTGTTCTATTTTCTAAATGAAGTAGATCTTGCTGTAGAATGTGCTTTCTTGTTACACTTGTAAACAGCTGTTTGCGGGGTTCTACGCATACAGTCACAGTAATGGTTTAACAGACATAAACGTTAAGTCTTTGTAGCATATACATACTTGATACACAGGAAACTAATTTTGCTTTGAAAATAGATTCTTGTGAGTGGATTATCATTTGATCTGGCATTAGCAAGGATTATCATTATAGTTTGTGGGTATTCCTCTTTATTATTAGCTGTCCACAATTTTCTGCCCATTAAGATGAATCAGTAACAACTGATAGATTGGGCACTTTTGTTTTTGCCAGTCTTAAGTATTGGTACCTTTGATATTACAATGATGCTTACATAAAATTACAATGTCTTCACTGCATTTTTTAAGTTACAATTCACAATTGATTAATCTGAAAACATAATGCCTCATAAAATGGAAAGATACCATGTATAGGGGATCAAAGACATTCAAAAGCTCTGTGACCTACTTTTTTTAGGCTAATTTTACATTTTATGCAGTCTTGAAAAAACCAGAATGTTGTCAAAGGGCGAGAAATTATTACCTGAAATGTTATGGTTCAAGTGCTTTCTTAGGTTTAGTCTTCCATTAATAAGCAAGGAGAAATTTGGTATGGACTTGGTAAAAAGAATAACATTGGCGGTAATTAACAGTAATTTGTAAGTTTCAGACTTCCAGGGTTAATGTGGAGAAAGTCAAAAATACTTGGCTGACTTAGATGAGATTTTTCTTTTGTACACCCAAAAAAATTTTTATCTTTCCGGGATATTCTACCTAACAGTTTGGTTCACAACTGCAAAGATATTCATCCTATTGGAGACCTGGCAGAATGAATGAAGGTATCAAAAGCAATCTTATGCCTGTAGGTTAGTTTGGACAAGTGAACTAAAATATATATTTTGACATGCTTAATATAACCAATATGTAAACTATAAGGTAATAATGTTGGAAATTTGGAATACTTTTTTTTAAAGATGAGCTTCCTAATAGAATGAAGATGGGCAATAGATACTATATAATAGGAATTCCGGCTCATGTATACAGTGGTTCACAACTACAATTGTGTATGGAAGCAAATAGCATACAGCCATGGTTTACAAACGGTAAGATCTGTATTTAATAGGAAACCAACGGACAGTGATTTTAGAATATAGAATAGTTCAATATAGTGTGGAACCTTTTTGAGTTCAGTTGATATAGTTGATATGGCCTAAATTATCACTGTGTTCCTTCAAGGTGATAAAAGGCAAGCAATAAATTAAGATTTGTTTTTTATTAATATTAAATACAAATAGTAGTAGAAACTTGAATATTGCTGAAAAGAGATATGTTTTGTTAATGTCTTTCACCTTGCATTAATCAGAATAAAGACTGACAGATTGTATCAAATAGCATTTTAGCTGTTTGCAATAAGCAAGGTACTGATCATACCCAACCAGGCCATTCTTGCAAAACTTGCAACATGTTGTCCAATATGAGATGTGATTTTGCAAATGGGCAGCATTTGCTGGATAATCCTGAGTGTGTGAAGAATTACACTGACAATCAATGTTAGATTTTCAGTTAGGCTTGCACTTGGAAGCTACGTATATCAATACCCAGGGCCTAGTCCTTTGCAGACAAAAGAACATGTAGGCACACTGCACCTGTTTTGACTCAACAAGTGACAGCCATTCACTGGTACTTTTCTCAGGGCAATGCCCTGACTAATCAATGTCAACTTGTTTTAAAATTTAAACAAAGCCTGTCAATCATTATTAATGAGTGCTTTCTCTATGGCAATGCCTCTGCCAGAGTCCACTTGTCAACTAATCAACATGCTGCTCTCATGCAGTATAAATGTTGGTTTTTCCCTTGAATTGATATTTTTATGAACTGTGCTGACGAGTGCAAGATGAAACGCTTTGAGAAAGTATGACTTTTATCAGAAATGTTACGCCTGGTATTCTGAGATATATTTCTAATGATCTTATTATGTTGCAAACTCTGTTTGTTTACCACTCTGTTTATAACAGGTGCTGTCAAGAACTGGATTTCAAAGCTTGGATCAATTGTCACCTTGTGGAAGATAGAGATTTATACTCAAAACAAATGCATCTGACATATTTCTTCCTGATCAGTTAGTTTTCCTCTCTTCCAAGCGTACCAGATGCCCTCTACTGCATTACTGAGCTGGCCATTATTAATATTTGAACCCTTACAGAGAATATCAGCTAGTTTTTTCAGCATGGGAGATATTGCAGCTAATTTTAATTGGTTCTTAGTTCAAAAAGCACATGTGTACTTCTTTGTTAATGTAATCAAGATTTTTGATCCCCAGCTCATGGACTGTGGCCAGGTATATCATCTCAGTTACCATCCCAGTTGTGTCTCTGTTAACGCTGAGCTAAGATTAGCTAATGTCACAGGCCAAAGATTGAATTGGGATCTCTTTGGTGTGTATGCGTCAGCTACTTTTTGAATTTTCTCACTTAGAAATTGTTAAAGATTGAAAGAACTGATCAGTTTGTTTCTAACTTTACAATCTTTGCATTTTGGTCGTGCTTACCAGTACTTGTTCTGTATCTTTATTGCTCTGAGCATGACATTATCTCTCTACTTGATCACCAGTCTTCTGTCTTATATTATACTTCTAACAATATTTTACTTCCCAAGGGTACTCAACAGCAGTGCAAAAGTACATTATTAAGATAGCATTAAAGCTATTCAGCCTGTTGGAGGTGCCGGTGTTGGACTGGGGTGGACAAAGTCAGAAGTCACATGACACCAGGTTATAGTACAACAGGTTTATTTGAAATCACTAGCTTTTGTAGCGTAGCCCCTTCATCATGTCATTGTGTGACTTCTGACTTCAGCCTGTTTTAAGCTAACTTGAAATGTTTCAAACCATACATGAAATCAATATAATCAAAATTTGTTGAACTTGCTAAAGTAATAAAACTAATTACCTTTCATGTTTCCTTTAAAGATCCACCCTTCATCAGTGACAACTTCAAATGTCTACTTTCTACCACTGCATCTTCACCTTGGAGATTCACAGCTGTTCTGGCCAATATCTTTGCTGCACAGATTGTTCCTCCAGGCACTTACAACATTCTCAAACTCAGCTTGCTACTGAGTCTGGTTCAGACCTGCAAAAATGAAAAGCAGACAATGGAATGCTTAGACCTTTTAATTGTTACAAGTGATCCAGTAACTGTGGACAGGTGCTATTTCATGTTATTTAATTTTATGTATATTTTTATATGGCAATAGAACAATATCCAGCAGATTTCTCACTTAGAAGTTCCTTTGAATATTTGTATATCTCAAAGCTTATGGAATATCAATATTTACATTGGGGCTTTTTTTCTGCAAATCAGTAGCAATTAATATCCTATCTTTATGTGTGTCGTGGTTCAACTCAGAATTGTGCAACCTGAAGGGAGCCATCCCTTTCCCAGTTATTTCAAAGTCATATATAGCAACCATCCACATTACAGAAATCAGAACTTCAGGTGACATTCATGTTCTTACAGAACTCAGGAAAAATTACCTCATTTCTTAATTAAAGTTTCAGATGGCTCTTAAATTATTTTGTTGACCAAATTATTATTATTTTGTTCCTGGTTCTTTTTATTGGGAGTACAAATTCCGTGTTGTAAATATGCAGCACTCAGACAGATTTTTCAAACCAGAGATAGTAAGAACTGCCGATGCTGGAGTCACAGTTAACACAGAGATAATATTTCTGAAGAAGGGTCCCGAACAAAACGTCACCTTTCCTGCTCCTTTGATGCTGCCTGGCCTGCTATGTTTCTTCAGATCTTTCAAACCACCTGCCTTGGCAACCAGTGGCGTATCTCTGAATCATTTCCTGGGTCAGCTGGCCTGAGTGCAGGCTATAACCTCCCAGCCCATGTAATACAAATCCTACTTTCCCTGGCTTAAGACTTTTTTCTGACACCTGCTAACTGTCTCAAGAATAAAAATCCAGGTCATTGTCTCAAGGTTGGAGGTACCAGGTTGTTGACTTCCTCAGCCACCTCTAACCACACCTGCTTGGTCATTCTTTTCTTCCTGACCTTCAGAAAGCTCACAACATTGCAGCACCTCAATTCCCACAGCAGAACCTCTAAGTAAGGGTCAGAGAGCCAGGGTGCCATATTCCCAGGTCACTTCTCCAATGCTGTGTTTGCTGCTGCCTCAAAAATACAAGTTTTGTTGAGCCCTTATAACCCATGGCATTGCTTCTTTAATTAGACATTCATTCTTTGGCAAAATGGGTGCATCATCCCATCTTCCGTCTATAATTGCTCAGGGAGAATGGAATGCTAATGCTTTTGCTCTTGAAAAGAGCTTTGCCAAAGCATACTGATAGGAATTCGGCTTCTAAACCTGAAAATAGCCCCACTGTTCCAGCAAGGACAAGATGCACATGATTCTGCCCATTATTCCAGAAAACTGTCTTGAATGCCAGTTCATGAACTGCTCCAATCTGCGTTTTGTTAATTTGGCTTGACCAATTTATATGATGATGAGTCCCCTGAAATTATTGCATTATCTTTATTTCATAACCCTGTATGATCCTAATTCGTACTCTGTGGAACATACTAAAATTAGGAGGTCTATAAATTACTTCAACTAATGTTTTATGGCTTGACATGTCTTAGCTCATGCTGTACTATACTCTGACTTTTCTGGGCTAAGATTCTTCGTCATTACAGTCTTTCCATTCTGCCTATCTGTTCTAAAAATCAAATGTCCCGAATTTTTGGTTTGCTCACTTGTACATCTTGTAACCTTGTCGTAGTAATGACTACAATTTCAAACTATTTATGCCATTAATTCATCTATCTTGGTATGAATGCTACATGCGTTCAAATAGTTTGCCTTCATTTTTAACTCATTATTTTCCCATGAGATAACCTTAATACTAATACCCTGTTGCCTTCATTGAAACCTGCCTGTTCCTGCCACACTGTGCTCGATTCACACAAACTATCAGTCTGCTATACAGCCTTGACTTTTCTCTTTGGTCTTAAAAAAAAACCTTCACGTTAATCCCACACCTACCACCTATGAGTTTAAATGTCTATCAACGACCCCATTTTTTGAACTTGTCAGGACACTGATCCCAGTTTTATTTTAGTAGAGTGCATCTCATGGGAGCATCTTTCTCTTTCCCATGTACTGATGGTGGTGCCCCATGAATTGAAACCTGTTACTTTTGCAGCTTACATATGTCATGTTGAGGTTGTATAGGACTTTGGTGAGGCCACTTTTGGAGTACTATGCACAGTTCTGGTCGCCCTGCTATAGGAAGGATATTAATAAATTGGAGAAGGTTCAGAAAATATTTACCACAATTTTGCCAAGCCTGCAGGGTTGGAGAGGGTGGTATGGTGGCTCATTGGTTAGCACTGCTCTCTCACAACACCAAGGACCTGGGTTCAATTCTGTCCTCGGATGACTGTCTGTGTGGAGTTTCTGCGTTCTCCCTCTGTCTGCTTGGGTTTCCTCCGGGAGCTCCGGTTTCCTCCCACAGTTCAAAGATGTGCAGGTTAGGTGGATTGGCCATGCTAAATTGCCCATAGTGTCCATGAATATGACGGTTGGGTGAATTAACCATGGAAAGTACAGGGTTACAGGGATTGGGTAGGATGCTGTTCAGAGGATCGGTGTGGACTCAGTGGGCTGAATATCCTGCTTCGATACTATGGGGATTTTAGGCTGGGATGTTTTTCACTGAAGCATAGCGGGTTGAGGGAGTGACTTTATAGAATAGCAAAGGTCTTTTCCCTAGGGTGGGGTGTTCAAAACTAGGGGGCATATTTTTAAGGCGAGAGGAGAGGATTTAAAAAGAGACCTGAGGGACAGCTATTTCACAGGGAGTGGTTTGTATGTAGAATGCCAGAGCAAGTGATGGATCTGGTGCAGTCACGACATTTAAAATCATTTGGACAGGTACATGAATAGGAAAAGTTCAGAGGGATGTGGGCCAAATGCAAACAAGTAGGACTAGTTTAATTTGGGAATCTTAGTTGGTATGGATGAGTTGGACCAAGCGGCCTGTTTCCATGCTGTATGACTCTGCGACTCTCCTCATAACTCAAACCCTCCAGTCCCTTATGACTTTCCAAAAAGTAGGTGTGTGTGTAGGGGTGCATGTAAACATGTGTGTGTCATGTTTTATTGTCACTTGTACTCTACAATGAACAACATAGTAAAATACAGTGAAAAGTTAACTGTCGCCAAAATCTAGTGCCACTCAAATGCTTCAAGAATAAAAGGATAAAGCTGAGCCAGCCAACCAACGACATCTGTGCTCGACCCACCAACGTCAGAGTCACCACTCTCCAGGTGCCATCTCTTAGTCACTGTGCCCACCACGCCCCTGATGCCGGGTGCCATGCTAGACCCACACTTGTCCCGCATCCAAGAACCCCCAGCTCCACTGCCACTGTGCCAACAACCACGAGACCTCACCTCTCAGTCTATCACAACCAGGAGCTGCCACCACCATGCCAATAACCAGGAGTGCCTGCTCCAGGCCAACCACAACCAGGAGTTCTTGGTACCCGCTGAAGCCACTGCCGCGCCAATACCTGGAGTCACGCTCCCCTCCGCCACCACCGACAGGAAGAAGATAAAGAAAAAGAAAGAAGCCAAAAAGATAGGAAAGAAGAGAGAAAGCGGCCGCCTGCAGCAGAAGGGCCCAGGAGCCTGAACACTGCCTACCTTTCTAGCACCACCATTCAATGTATCCTTGTTCGTCAGAGATAAACAGGAAGCTCACAAATTGCCACTGATAGAATTACAAATGTCTCTGACATATATGCTAACTTTATTTGAAACAATTACTGAACCAAACAGACTGAGTGCAGTTATTGCCAAAATTATAAAACATCATCACATCTAAATCATATTTTACTTTTATCTTCCAGGGTTTCATGTGCAGCAAGTGTTGCAAAGCATCCATGAGGATGATTCTTCAGAGGAACTCATTTCTTCGGAGGATGCACCATCATAGGATATATAGCACCGGATTACTTAGATCCTTAGTTGGGTTTTCATGTAGTGATTTATATCTCACCAATCAGAATAAGCAGACCTTGATGGGTGGCAAGGACAACTGTTGACAGTCTGCTTTGAGGCATAATTCACACTACCCTGTGCTTAGTTGGACAGAGACGCTGAAACCTAGGCACTATTGTTAAGAAGGAGAATGCTAAAAAGAAAGTGTCAGCAACTTGGTCGAGGACTGAGAGATGTGCAAAAGACACTCTTCACAACAATGGAGAGGATGAAAGTGTTCACTTTGATTGTTAATAAATGGAATTGAGAAACTGTCAGCAATGGAGGGAATAGCCAGTTCCATGCAGGTTAAAGCTGAACTGCCAAATGAATCCACGCAGGCCAGAATTGCAGCCATGTTAGGTTGAATGAAAATTTGGCTGCTGCCTTAAAACTAGATCTTAACATATCTAAGCCTTGCAATGTGCTATTAATTGTTGTCAAACTGTTCTACAATAGGGTGATGTGCTCCTGGTCCAGTGATGGATGACAGAAAAAAGGGGCATGAAGGTAGAAGCTTCACTCCCATTTGTCTCCTGTATTCCAACCTCCACCTCCTCCCACAACCAATATAAAACATATAGCCTCACTTCTCAATCTTGAATTTCCTCCTCCACAGTTGCAGAAGGAGAAGTTTTCTCAGCAGTTCAAAAGCATCAGAGCAGTCAAGCCAGCAATCACTCTACCTGAAGCCACATGAGATGCTTCATTTGTGTAAGAAACAAAAATTAAAATACATCAAGAGTGTGTATAAGGATGGTAATAAAATACTACATTGTTAAGATTCCTTTTCTAATAATGTCACGTAATGGTTATTTATTAATTACCTTTCCATGCCTTCCTTTTAGTGTTTTGAATGCCAATATCCCCTTTCACTTGTTTCATGAATGCCAACGCATGATGAATTTAATTGCATGAGCCCATTGACTGGATGAATGACAGGAGGACTCTTGAGGTGAGGTGATTGATCTGGTGGTTAGAGTTGATTGCAAGATTTCATTTCTTACATTTTACACCTAGGTGAACCTTTTCAGAACATAACAGATCACTATTATTCTGGGCACTCTCAATGGTATGTACTCCAAGCACTTGAAGCCCTTGTTAAACATTCCAGTGGATTTTTCTGTGACACAAGATGGACATGAAGCTC